AAATTTTTCTAGTAGTCTTCGATAGAGTAACAAACGAGTTTCTCTTAGAGGACATATCAATAAATGAAAAGTAAAGAATTCGCAACAACACGCAGTTCCTATATATATATATATATAGTAGAATGATTTCTTGACGTATTAGACAATTGATACAAAATGAACTGTACTCTCCATATGTCGTTCGGTTGAATCACGAAGATGCATATAAACATATAACTCGTATATTCACTTCAAACTTACGCAGTAATCCCGTCTCGAGACTCGTTTGATTTCCGTGATGACTTCCGGAGAAGACAGTAATGCGGCGAAGATGAAGCAAAAATTGATGAGGGACGCGCCTATGAAGGAAGAGGCGAGATCGTTTTTGAAATTCTCGCGGGAGAACTTGAGCATTTCGCACTCCGACCTCGAGCAAGGATTTAATAGAACGAGATCGTTTATAAGACCGAGCAGGAACATGATTTTGAGTGTTCTTGCCCTTATGGCAGCTATTCTTTGTCTCGGTCTTCAAGGATGGAAACTGCTATCAAGCATACACGAAATCGAGCAACTGAGAAGAGATGTTGATATCTTGAAGCATCGATTTCTGGAGCAGAACCTCATGAATGAATTAAAAGCTTTCGAGGAACAGGTAAGTGCCTCCAAGTCAACGTAATTGACGTTAAATTGATACCGGCACGCTTAATCTTTTTTATATCGGTAAAAGAAAAAAACATTTTTTTATCCAATTTGCAATTCGAATTTTTATATAGCAATTAACATGCTATAATATACAGAAGCTACAGAAAGATTTGAGTAATAGAGAGATCATTGAACTTTTCATATTATATAGATTCTCGCGTATTCACACAATACGGTCGGGTCTTATCTCATCGGCTTTACTGCAATCTTTCTTCTGTGATAACCTTGTTTCTTTAAAATCAGACGAAAATAAATAAAATGCTAAATTTGCGATTTTTCATCTCTACTTTTATTACTTTTCGAGCAATATTTGTAAATTTACAAAAATATTTTGAAATAGCAGATACATTAAACATTTTTTTTTAATTATTTATTAAAACAGAAAATCAATAAATGTTAATCAAAGCAAGATTTACAAGTCGATTTCGTTAAAAATGCATTGAAATCATACAGGGCGGAAATTTACAATAAGTTTATTGACCTTAATTCTTTCTTAAAAACTGTTTTACAAACTGTTATACTAAATGTAATTATTATACTAAATATACTAAACGAAAGGAGATCAAAACGATGTTTAACAAGTTAATTTTGATGAAAACACAGTAATATTTAGCATTAAAATAAAAGACTCTAAGATTATTTTGAATATTAGATTATTCAAATTTATTATTAAGATAATTATATATATGATAAGACTTTTATTAATATCAAAAAGACGCTTTTTTCTGCAAAAGATTTTTTTTTTTAAAGACATTCATTAAACATGTTTTAATACTTTCAAAAAAAAATATTTTTCCGTAACGCTTTGGAATATCCAGAGCATTATCAAATTTTATCAAAACACATAACTGAAATAAGACATAAGAACAAGAGAAATGATAGAGAAAGTGTTAAAAAAAATAAAAAAAAAAAAGAAAAGAAGTAGAATAGAATAAGAAAAGTATAGACACAAGACTTTTCTAATTTTCTAATTATTAATTATTTCGTAGTAATTCAATATACGCTTCAATTTATCGCGTCACTGATAAAAGTTTGATTGATTTATAAAACGTTTTCATTTGAGTTGTATTTGGAGGATATTATTAAACTGTTGAAATTCTCGGAAGATGTTACACAGCTGAAGTTATTTGAGTCAACAGCGGTATTTTCTACCTTTACTGGAATTCCCCGTTACACCGAGTGGTATTGTCCGTATTACTTTTAGACGCAGCAATTATTTTGATTGCCCTCTAAAAGGAAATCATACAATTACTTATTACGAATGAATTTCCTCGTATTAGATGTTAGTCACACGGACATATATATTGATTTAATTCAGTGATCGTACAAATTGTGTGTGTGTGTTGTTCGATGGAAGATTTTTGCCGTATATACAGACCGCGTGATCCTGAATCGTGTAAATAATGCATAACGCGTTGCAGCTGTACGCCGAAGAGTCGACCGAGGATGATGATGATGATGATGATGATGCAGGCGAGGCAGACATTGATAACGCTGATTATGACTCTAATTACGATGACGATAGTTCCGCATCGCACGACTATTCGGGCGACTATCACGCTCCCTTATCTTACGGTACCAAGTCTGCGGATTTCCTCGAAATTACATCTACGTCGATACCGATACCTACATCACCGGATCCCGGTGCCAATGAGGATATGGTCAAGTTGCTGGCGACCTTGCGCAAAGTCGAGACAAAACATAGACAGGACGTCGAAAAGAACGTACGGGAGAATCGCAAGTGAGTGACAATATATACAATAGTATTTTGAGAAGAGGAGAAGAAAAAAAAAGAAATAAGCAGATTTATTTTGTTCATTTATATATATTTATATAAAATCAGAATCATCTCGCAAAGTATTTATCATAAATTGTGTCAAATGCCAGCAAAAATATATAACAGAATCTATTAATAGAATATGACGACAGATTTATTGCAGAAATCGAGCAGAATATGTAATTTCATAAATATTGAAATGATATTTTGATTTTATTGAAATGATTGCGAAATAACAGTTTGTTTGACTTCTTCTTGATAAGAAGATAAAATAATTTTTTAAATATAGATAAAAATATGCATTTTTTTATTAATTTATTTATTATACATACTGACTGATTACAAATATAACAGTACAATATTTTGAAATATTATATTTTATTTTTATATTATTTTATTAGAAATTAATTTTTAATTTTAAAAAAGTGACTAATAACGAATTCTTTCTTTAATCTACTTCTTTCATATAGATAAATGATATTTCTATTTTTTTCAGTTAAAGTAAATATATATTCACTTTTGTGAAAAAATATCAACTTTAAAGTGATTTTGTATTTGTATTATACTATTTTTATTAAACTCACTTGTTTGTATTAACACATTTTTTGTTATTAAATTGAATTTTTTTATATTTCGAAATTGCTTTCATATAATAAATTAATTTTTATATAATAAATGAAGTTAACATCTTTTT